TTATTCTGTCTACAACAAGATATTATCCAAAGTTTTCTGGGCAGACTATCTTTAGGAAATGTATGAAACCTAAAGATTTTATCTTCATTGTCACTATTGCAACAAGCAACTGCACAGCGCATTTTGAAAAAGGTGCAAAACCAGATATACAATGACAAGTAAAAATTTTTAGTTTTACAAAAAAAATACTATACAGTATAAATAAACAGTAACTCAACACCACAAGTACACACAAGTCTCAGACACAGGTGCGCCTTTAAGGCCTATTCTCACTCCAGGCATGTGGCCAGGCATGTGCTTGGCATGTGCCCTGCTCGAGACGTGCAAAATTACTTTAACGTTATTTAAATGGGTTTAGCGACGGTCCGTTCTCACTACAAGTGCTCGGAGTGGGAACGGTCCGTGCCCGGCATCGAACAATCTTTTCAAACAATATTTTCCTAGCCCATGCCTGGCACATTCCTTGCACAGACCTACATAGTGTGAATACTTCAGACGAGTTTCGACAGGCAAAATGGTGCGAAAAAAATTATTTTCACATGATACTGATGAATTTTTAATAGAATTAATTTGTGAGAGGAGTGAATTATACGATTTTATGAATCGACTGTATGCAGATGCAGCACATAAGTCTCAGGTATGGTGGGATATTGGACAAAATATTAAAATAGGTAAATAAAACACTATATTTTATCTAGGTAATACACCACTACCGATAATATTTCAAACAAAAAAAAATAGTAGTAGTCAAACTCGTTGGAAAAGAAAGATGATATGACATAAATAAAAGAAAAAATAATTTACGGGAGACCTGAGTTCGGAAAATGGAGGGAGTGAGTTTTTTAAGTGCAAAAATGGTATATCGTGATTTCCTAGAGCAAGTTGAACTACATATCTACTAAAGCAAGTAGAATTACAGAAAAAATCTTTTTGTAGTTAAAGTAACTGGAACCACTATTGATTGGAGCTACAATTTTGATGTGCTTTTCATCTAGGGCTCCTAATGCCCTTGGGAAAATTCCACGACAACCAAAATTTTTTGGCAATTTGTTCAAAATCGCATTCTGCTGAAATTCGGCAATTGACATTCTATAATATATATAAAATTTTGACTCATTATCCATGAGTTCTTTATACAAGGTAAAGTATCCTCCTTCTATTTTTCTTTTCTTAATCATTGGATATATCCAAAACCTCCTTTTTTTAACTTTATCTCTCATATTCTCTTCTTCTTCGGCATCTAAAGTAAAAAATGCAATTTTTACTAAAGTTGCCGTGGAAAACATTACAACTGCACAACTACCCACCGACATGTCTAACCGACTGCCTGTGCAAAATACCGCTGAAAGCATGTTACGAGCGCGAATAGTGTGAATATTTACCAAAAGCATGGCATGTGCCGGTCAGGTGACGAGGACGGGCATGGCACGTCTAATGAGAATAGACCTTTAAGGTGCATATATATTATATATGCATATAGATGCATATATATTATACGTGCATATATATTATATAGAATGTCAATTGCCGAATTTCAGCAGAATTACCAGCAGAATGCGATTTTGGACAAATTGCCAAAAAATTTTGTTTGTCGTGGAATTTTCCCAAGGGCATTAGGAGCCCTAGATGAAAAGCACATTAAAATTATAGCTCCAATCAGTAGTGGTCCCAGTTACTTTAACTACAAAAATATTTTTTCTGTAATTCTACTTGCTTTAGTAGATATGTAGTTCAACTTGCTCTAGGAAATCACGATAAACCATTTTTGCCCTTAAAAAGCTCACTCAGGTCGCCCATAAATTATTTTTTCTTTTATTTATGTCATATCATCTTTCTTTTTCAACGAGTTTGACCCTACTATTATTTTTTTTGTTTGAAATATTATCGGCAGTGGTCTATTACCTAGATAAAATATAGTGTTTTATTTACCTATTTTAATATTTTCTCCAATTTCCCACCATACCTGAGACTTATGTGCTGCATCTGCATAGAGTCGATTTATAAAATCGTATAATTCACTCCTCTTATGAAGTAATTCTATTAAAAATTCATCAGTATCATGTGAAAATAATTTTTTTCGCACCATTTTGCCTGTCGAAACTCGTCTGAAGTATTCACACTATGTAGGACTGTGCAAGGAATGTGCCAGGCATGAGCTAGGAAAATATTGTTTGAAAAGATTGTTCGATGCCGGTCACAGACCGTTCCCACTCCGAGCACTTGTAGTGAGAACAGACCGTCGCTAAACCCATTTAAATAACCTTAAAGTAATTTTGCACGTCTCGAGCAGGGCACATGCCGAGCACATGCCTGGCACTATAGTGAGAATAGGCCTTTACTGGTAATTTTTTACGCTCTCATCTGGGATACGGCGCCGGTTAAATTTTATCCATCCAATTTTTTAAGCCTTTGCGAAGTGGATATTTGTATAAAGAGACATAAATATGTAAGCATATATCTAAATTATTTTTCTTTTATGAAATAGATGACTCAGGCAGTATTGAGTTACTTTAAAATATATTTATTATTTCATAACTTGCAATTTGCATCGTCACCATTGATAACCGATATTATTGTCGAACTTTTGTTTTTATACAAGCCTTCTGTCTTGTCGGTTTAAAGATGTCTATTAAAGTCGATATTTATTGTGCTTTTCGTTTGAACTAATTTGTGTCTTATTTTCATATTATATTGTTTGGTAAGTAAATTTTGTATATAATAATCGGTATGTTATAGTAATGTGTATATTTTTTATTTTACTTAATTTCATTATCATAATTTCATCTAAAATACCATATTGAATTATAAATCAAATTTTTCTTTATTGTAGTCTATTTTGTTTTTACTTCAGTAAAAACTGCTTGGAAAAGAGTGACAGTGAATCAGAATACGCAAATCTACTACTATTTACCTATTCACAGTATTTCCTCTGCACAAAATTTTTAAATTTCAACGGATTTGCATAAAAAAAGAGTGCTTATATTATTAGTATATGTATGAAAACAAAAATAAATATTTCGCCTGAATCCCCAGGAAATGTAAAGTTTTACGCTACTGAAAATATATTTTTTATTCAATTATAACTAAAACAAAACATTTAAAAAAAAATTCGATCATTTTTTGACCATAATTTCAAAATTAATTGTACCCTGATATGTACTATAGTCGTATAGTATAGTAGACGGAATTCGTAACATCCTTCTTTTCAGTGGCGTGTATCTTTCTTCTTTCGGCTTGTCGTAGGTTCAAGATTCACATCCGTATGTCAGTATATGAATATTACGTTCTTGAACAACCTCATTTTTAGAGTTCCTGAAATTTGAGAGTCCTTCCACATTTTGGCTATCTTTCCTACGGCGACTTTTGCTAGATTATATCTACGTTTTATTTCTTCCGGTAATGACCCTGTGTTTTGTGATCAATGATCACAGATGACCTCACAACCTTAAACTCAAATCAGGTACAGATTTTACTTGTATAGTATATCTTTATAGAATATCTCGAAGTTTATGTAGTCATGTTCCGTTCATAGTCAGTTCATGTAGTAGTCTTCTTATTATGTTTGCTTCTAACGCCATCTGTTGACGTATTAACAAAGCATACTTTGTTTATTTATGACAAACCTGTCAAATTGTGACCAAATATTAATAATAAAATAGTAATTTTAATTTAAAGTAAATTTAATTATTATATAAACTAAATAATATGTTTAAAAATCATAAGTAGATTTATATGAAATTATTCTAAAACGAGAAGTGTGTTTAACATTTAAACAGATGATTCAATATTGTTATTAATTGGATTACATTTATGACTTAAATTTTGACAATCGTTTCGATTCACAACTACAATTTTGACAATAAAATCTATTATTGACAAATATTCTTTTAATTTTTTACTTCTCATTTAATGTCTCTATTTTATTAGTTATTTTTCATGCAGTTTTTAATTAAAAGCTGCTCAGAATAAATATATGATGACTAGAAACGAATTCGATGAACGTAATCATCCGGTAATACCAGTGGTACATACAAGATTTTATTTTTCAGTTCACATAATATAAAAATTAAAATTGAGCCGTTTTTAGTTTTTATTTTACTGCACCTACAAAATATAACTGCTTACTTTGTATGTACTCGGGCACGAGGCCCTCTGGTGGATTATGTTGCTCTTTGGGTATAATCATCCTAATGACATCATTGGTGCATAAATAGCTATTAAAATTGATAATAAATCGCGTATTGTAGGACGGGCGCTCATTTGTATAATGAGAATTTAGACTAGCAAAAATTTGTCCGCTAGATCTTATTTCTCTCTCGTATACGTGCCGCAGTCCGAGCGCCCTTCCTGTCAAACTTATTAAAGATTTTAGGTTTAGGTTTTTAGCTAAAAACAAGGCTTTAGAATGAAATATGCCCAAAATTCTTATCGGGAAATGATATAACAAGGTTTAAGCTTGAATTTAGGTCATTGGTGAATTCAAAAATAATGTTTTTTACTTGTGGTTTTTGTGCCTTAAAAAAAATTGTCGGGGCCAAACATTTTATTGTTACAATTTGTTAAAAAAAATGTTTAAAAAAATCTGAACAACTTTTCGCCTGGGTCACCTCTTGAATCTTATTTTGGAGTACTTCAACAATGTGATTATGCAAAAAAATATCTTAGGAAATATTTTTCCTAACGAACCCGAGCTTTTCGCCTTGTCTACAAGTATTAGACGTTTTTGATATGTGTAAATTATCAGTTATAACCGTCTGCTTGCTTGTTTTGGACAGTGTTTAAAATATTGCAAGAATTTGCTTTTAATTTTCTCAGCACAGCGAACGGTTTAAATTAAAGCTTTTATCCCTAATCTAAAATAGTCGCAAATTCGTGAAATGTCTATAGTTGAAATTTGATGGTATCTACATACTGAAGTATTTTTAATTCATTAACAATTGATCTAACTTAATATAAATAATTTTTTCGATAGCAAGATTTTACTTTCTTTTTTTTTGTAGGGTTTGACTTGGCCTGCCATGTATGCTCTTGTAGGACACTGGATACCTGTTCCAGAAAGAAGTCGCTTTATGTCCAGCTTTCAGGGTAAGTTTTCTCTCCAGATATTCTCTAATTTTTACAGAAGTTTATTTTGCTAATTTTTTAAGCAAATTATTTAACAGAAAATAAACTTCATGCTTATTTTATGTAAAAATATTCAGTGAAGCGAAAACTTTATCAGTTACATTTATATCCAATTTTACGGTTTATGTATTAAGGTCTCGTACAGTACAATTACACCGTTATGATATTGGAGAATTTTAAAATACAAATCAGTTACTACTCCTGTAGGACTCGAATCCAGTTCGACAGTTCGAATCCGACACACATGTGAGACTGGAACACCATTCACTATACTACCGTTTGCTTTTTCCATGTGATATGATAACGATTCGAAAAATTCTGTAGTTCTTAGTTCGACTATTTCAAAATTCTTTAACTTTAATTAATTTTATTTTAATACTCCTGTCCGACCCTATATAAAGTTGAGGTTTTCTGCGACTTACAATTATTTATTCGAAGAAATTATTTTTGTAAACATCTCAAAGTCTGCTTATGGGAGCACTTTAGGCACTCAGGCAATTGAAGAAACAAAGTTAAGAGTGTTTGATTTTATTTAAGTCGTTACAAATAATTACCGTTTTCCAAACTACGTTTTCGTTAATATATCCGATTGGATGGTAGCAATCACGAGACGAATCTGACTTAATTCTTTGGGTAGCAAGCCGACATGGAAAATTCACATCGTCACGCGATACTAGACTTTTGTGTAAAGTGTACATCGCTCATCCAGAAGAACAGTGTCACAAATCAAGAAACATCATTTTTCAGGAGAGACAAAAATAGATTTTTTAGATCTTAATTTAACTGCCAGTTTTAAACGGTAATTGCTAAAATTTTCAAATCAGAAACGAAGAATATGGATAAGTGAATGTTTCTCTCTCTGAAGAAGAAGCAAACCCAAAAAAAAATTATATTTTATTTAACAAAGAAAAAAAGATGAAAAGGCTATGTCACTTTTCTTTTAAAATATTGGTCACTTTTTTAATAATTAATGAAAGAATTAACTTGAGAAATAAAATTTTATTTATAATAATATGGAAATTATCTTACTACTGTAAAAAATATTATTAAACATGTAACGATAGATTTTGCTTACCTCAGGGTAAGAATATGAAGTAGAAGATTGGGCAAACAAAATAATCGAAACTAGTGCGTACGGCACTCAAGGAGTTGTTGGAGAGCTGGGTCGTGGATAAGTTGAAATAAAATGGGTCGGATTGGGGTATCTAATAAATTAAAACAAAGGGATACTTACACAAATCTCCTGTGTCAAAAACGAACAAGATATGGCAGATAAGGTTACCTCTAGCTATTTCTATTTGGACGCAGCTTCGAAGAAAACTTCCTGCTGGGAGAAAGAAAAATTTTTCTTCCCTAAAATCAAAAATACATACTAGGGTTAGGAGACTTTTCTAAATTAAAACACAAAATGGATCAGAGAAACAAATCAAACGTTTATTTTTGTCTCAAACAAACAGTTATCAAAAATACAGATTACACAAGAAGCATACCTAACATAATACAAATTAACAAAAACTTACGTGTTATTTGTTTACAAAAGAGATTGCTTCAAAAATTTTTGAAATGGTTCCTAGGTTATAATATGGCCAAATTAGATTATCAAAACTTATGGATATCCTTTTTATGAAAATACTGTAGAATTTAACCTTATATATGAAATATCTTTTATATATAATAATCAAATTAAAATTGTTTTACAACAACAATGGATTAGAGCAAAATGTCATAAGTCAACATAACATTTTAAGACAATAAATTATGACATTTTTTTAACTATGACTCTAACATAATATAAAACTTTAATTATTACAAATTCTTTTAATTTTTAATGAAAGCAATTATTACGAATGTCTGTATTACTTGAAAAATATAATATATTGAATTGTTACCTTAATTCACAAACTTTGCCACTTAACTTTGAAAAACTTGCTACTATCTCTGGGATTGGAGTTGCAAGGACGAAACTCTCAACTGGAACAAAAGGAAACCATTTCCATACTCAGGAACAAAGATCTGACGTAGATGGGGTTCGATCAAGCAGGCAAACGACAACAAAGCTGGTGGGACATCTTATATACTGCTTCAAAATTCTACCATGTTCTGGTATACTACACAATTTATTTTCCACTGCTACACATTTCCACAAAAAGGGGGCAAAAACAGAAAACTACAAATTCGACGATGAATTTGGGTTCATACTGAGCCTACAGCGACCCAAGTAAGAATTGATCCACACCTGAGCTTACCGCGCCCAAGTAAGAATTAGATCCATACCTGAGACTACGACGACCCAAGTAATAATGATTAAATTCTCTTAAGAATTCGTTCACTTAACTTGAAAATAAACAAACGCTGAAATAACAAAACACAACGAAAATTAAAACGTAAAAGATTCAATTTCTACGACGTATAAAAATTATAAGGAGACTTCGAATAATACATTAAAAGAAAATTCCGAGAAAGTACACAACTTTAAAATAATAAACAACTCTAAAATGGTTTACATTAACATCTAGCAATGCAAATAAAATTATTGAAAGCACTTTGGGTATTTTAACTTGAAAGATACGAACTAAAAACATGGGAAAAATTCTTCGTTTTATTTTTAAACATATGAGGGGATTTCAATATATTACATATACGAGGGGATTTCAATATACACCAAAAAAATCATTGAATTGCAAATGCTACAAACATATATACTTCATCTAGTTTACTTACCGTTGCACGTCATCCGCGTCATAGTCCGTGAGGTCACATGATACCAATACGAAACATTTAGGCGGTAGGTGTGTTCTTTTTTAGAATCACTTTGCCGAGTACACTGGCATTACAGCCACTAGACATATTTTGTTATATATACGTGTAGAAATAATATTTAAAGATTTCTATTATTGTTAACTTAAAGAAATACACAATCATATGTTTAATTTAATTTGTATAAATGCATTATAAAGCGTTTTTATGAAGAACATTTGTTCGGAACACACTGTAACTGTAATCGAACGAAGGTGATATTTTGGCATAAATTGATAAAGCTTATTAGAAAGTTGCAGGACACTATTTAATAAAATCTGTTCTTTTTAGAACAAAATTAGTGTGTTTTAGTTCAAAAATGTCAGGTAAGAATTTAAATAGTCGTTGTAAAGAGATGGTAATACTTTTGCAATAACTATGTGACCTATTTGATTTAAAATGGAGTCAGGATTTTTTTATACTTTGGCAACTATGTCAACTTCGATCTCTGTCAATGATAATAACGTGCAACGGTAAGTAAATTAGATGAAGTATAAAAGAAAATAAACATTTTATGTCTAACACTGGATAAAACGAAAATACTTGAATATAATAGGTAAATAGTAGGTAATCTACAAAGACTCATAAAATTGCAAATAGCACTTGGGGATACAATTTTTTTTAATAATGCCATCAGACCTTTCTTCTTTTTTCTGATATTTCTACTTTATTTTTGTAAACCTTTTTCAATTTTGGTTTGATATTTTTTTTTCATTGATTCAATATCAACACACTATCGAAGTGTTCTTGCTGGTAAGAGGTTTTCTAAAACAATATTCTAGGGAATTATTTTGTGATTTTCAAAACTTTTATAGATCAGAAATGTTTACGGGTTCGACATTAGTATTCTTGGAAAAAGAGTTTAAACTCATAATATCAGCTGCTAATTGCTTCGTATCAAAAATGTCTTGATGACAAATTTCATCAACTTTGTATGGTTATCCAGATTTTTTTAGCAGTGCGTACAAGCGTCACATACTGATCAGGGATATATACAGGTCCTGACCTTTTTGATCTTTTAATTTGGCATTCAATAACTGAATGAGCACTATCTCCCTCATTCTGACTGTGCTTGTAATCAAAAACTTATGTGTTATGCTCTGCAGCTCATCGATTTTCAAAATGGCGTATACGTATGCAGCTATCATAAAACGGTTTTTTTGTTGTTGTGCACAGTTATCACAAAAAAATATAATATTCCGATTTTTCTCTTTTTCGAAACTATTGAGGTATTTTAGTATACATTAACCTATTCCATTGACTTCCCTTAGAGCCTCTCCTTCATGCTATATGTAACATTGGACATTTTTAGTTTGAATGTTGCAGACAGTTAGATTATAAACGTTCACTTTGGAAAAATAATAGAAGGATAAGGCTTCTCCAGACGGGCATGGTAAAATCGCCTGAAGATCATAAACTGCAATCGTGTTGTTAGAATTTTTATCGTTTTCATTTTCTTTACGAGATTAATATGTTTCTACACGAAGCACGTTATACTTGATCTGTAGACACTTTTTCTCCTCTTCCGTAACGTTATTATAACCAACACATACTTTTCACTGGTCTTTCTTTGGGACAAAGATTAAATTCTTCTTTAAAAATACGAGCGTACAACATGTAGTTTCCAAACAGTTGATTTTTCTCTTCGCAATTGTTTTATCTCATTCTATACATTGCTTTTCAGTTTTTGGCGCAGCAATAGTGGCTTTCCACTCTGGGTATTGATGCAATGTGTTCTCTGATATCATTTTTTATGTTTTCGTTGACTTAAACATGATGTCCGTATTTTCCTCTTAAATTAGATGATAACAGAGCGATTCGTCATTAACGAATATAAACATTAAACAAATCAAGGCGCTAAACAGTAAATCTATTTTTTCAAGAACAATGTCAAATGTGGAATGGAACAAAAACGTAAAATATATTTTATCAAATACTTCATGAATTATTACATAACTAAAATATGACTATATTTATTTTATTAAAAATCTAATAAGAAACCTACTTACCTTTTCAAGAAAACGACACAAATCTAAATATCCCACTTTTCCGTCGAAACGCCGAAAAATACTAGGACGCTTCTCAAAATATAACGGTTTTCTTGATAAAAATCGTCTTGATAAAATAAAATGAAAAAAAAAGTCTTGATAAAAATCGATACGTTCACTTCGAACGTCAGAGCCCCAACTGAAAAGTGTCATTCTTTCGAAATAAGAGTATTCATTTTTCCACCAAAGGAATAATGACACTGCCGTCATTTTTCGAAGTTGGTAGTAGATATCTATGTGACTTTTTCCTGGTAAAAATATAGGATATTTGGAGTCAATTTAACAAGATAACTGGAATTATGCATTTTTTTTTTCAGTTGTGTCAATTTTCTTCTGGATGAGCGAGATACAGTGTGTCATAAATTAACTTATTATTTTTTATACATTAACGTGATATAATTATTTT